TAGTCACATATATATTCAGCATAAAAATGCTAAGGTACACTGTATACAATTAAAGCAATAATTTATATGTTTTAAATATGCTATTTACAGTTCCAGTCGAAATAGTAGCAATGTTTTAGTTTCAGATAAAGTTAATGGCAACTTTTTCGTGATATAACTATACACTCATTCACAAACTAAATATAACACTAAGAAAATATACAGCTGCGGTCATAGAAAACTAGACCACTTCTCATAACAAAGTTTTAGTTGTTTTATCAAATGTACGTTCGTAATGTGAAAAGCGGAACAATGTTTATCAAAATTATTTGATTTGTTACATAGAACATTAATAAACTCATTTTTTTTAATTTGGAAGTGTATGTCAAACCTCGTGGTCCATTTTTCTATGGCCGCGACCGTGCATGTAATGTATAACATTTTAATTGCATTTAAAACCAAAATACTTATTACCTAGAAATAAAACGAAAGGTGCACAATATAAATAAATTCATTGCAAAATAATTCTTTACTTCAGTGAATTTTTAAAATATTCACATTTCAAATTTATTGTTTTTTAATGAATATGTAAGGGATATGGATTTTGTTTGCGTTTTATTCAAAATGTAGTGCTTAAACGTTTTGCTAAACGCACTGTAATATACATACTATGTTTCAAGACATGTACTATGTAGGATAAAAAAATTCAAACGGCTTCAAATTATATTGACATTAACGAGTAAATTTGGCTTTATGAACAACTAACCTTACCTCTTCTTTAAATTCGTTTTGCCTAACTACTACTAAATTAGGTGATTTACAAGATTGGATTTTAAATGACAGAAGCTTGTCGTTACTGCAAATTTTATTTGCTCATGGTTTATTTTTCTAGATGTACACAAATAATTGAAAAATCACTCTGCACTGTTGAAAGTTCACGATTAAAGACCATTCACATTCAATATTTATTCATTTCTACATAAAGTTTCTTCATTAAAACTTGCGTCCCCTAAAGACAAACGGAGCTTAAAATAATTCAAAAGGCTTGATTAATTAACTGAATGTCCATCGGGTTTGTAGGGAGCAACCAACGGCGCAAAAGTTCCATCACAAAAGGAAGTTAAAACTTAAAAAGATCGTTAAGTAGTAAGCATCGCCATGAAACAAACTAATTACCAGTTTACGCTAAGAAAATGTAAAGCTTGTAAAGCTTGCTGTTCAATCTGAGACACTTTCGGTACTATTCGAATAATTCCAGTGTCACGGACTAATTACAAATAATGTAAATCGGGGCTCCAATAAAAACATTATTTATGGTTAGGGATGCGGAAACAACGACAAATTTGCGATATGAGAGGAGTTACAATACAAATTGGATTCATGTTATTTGTTATTAGAATAACTAAATCAAATATGGCAATAAAAATCCGAAAAAAATAGGCAGATTAAAACTTCCAACGACATAACGTACAAACAGAGCACACATAATTATAAGTCACTTACGTTTTTTTACACTTGAATTTAAAATCGAATTTTAAATAACATTCATACAAAGTTATTCATGACAAGCACTTCGCCTAAAAAATTTAAAGCGCAAACAATTACATATAAATAAATTTACGCAATCCTTAGGTTAAAACCAAAAGCAAACAAATTCAAATCAAGACCTCGTAAGGGCATCTCTTGCACAGACAATATTGTCTACACAATCGTGAAGCACAAATAAAATGTCAAAATCATGTCTTTTCGTCGTTTGAACACATTAATTCTGACGAAATGTCAGTGTTGTTGCACACAACAGATAATTATGTTTTATTTTTTTTTTAATAGTACGAAACATCCAACATAGGTTTAAAACTGTATTTCTGGGCGTCTTGAATTTTTTAGGCGTGGAGATTCTCGTTAATAATCCTATATAAAGAAATAGTACTGCACACGCAGGACAAATATCATTTAACCAGTTTATTTCCAGATGTAACAATAATTAATTGGCAAAGAAAGCAATTTCAGCAAACATCTATTCTGAAAAAGACTGCACATGCAAAAGAACTAATAAAATACATGCATATCAGAAATATTATTCACTACCTTATTGGCAAACAAACAAAACCAGACAAAATGACAAAATTTTGGTTGTTTGAACAAAACATCATTACAACCTAGGTGTGATAAAACTGAAATACGAAAATTTTACCAACATATTTTCCAGCAAAAATACCACAAGAAGTATTAATAAACGTGTTGTAGTTATTATTAAATATTTACGAAAATTTAAGGTTTAGGAAAATTGGGTTTAAAATTTGCAAAGCCGTGTCATATTAACGTTTGAATTTTGCACAAAAGTAATTGCCTTAAAGTTATAACGTCACAAGTGACCCTGACAGAATTTTCAAATTAGTCAAAGTCAATTTGTTTTTGAAAAAATGTAGGCGAAATTGTTCAGAAACGTTTTGCAATTTTGATTAATTGTACATTCACATTTCTACAAAATCTGAAGTTGTTTCATAACCGGCCTGGTCTAACGACTTCTTACTTCAGCGGCACATAACTGTTGATACAATAGCACGTTATTTGTTTTTAATTACGGAGTTAGACATAAATGTAAGAAATAATTCGTGCTTTTAGGTATAACACTTAGGAATTTAATTCAACATTCTTAAAATAGTAGATAATAAACGAGTTAATCATGGTCATCAGGGGTGCCGACAATTCCAACATCATTTGGATTGTTTCCTGCAGGCAACCATATTTTGAGGGCATTTTTATAAAATAATATTTTCGAAATTTTTCAATTAATGTTCAAGAATTCCCCGAAAGTTGTTTTACCCCCTCTCCCACCCTTCTACTTTCCTCTTCCTCTCTCTTGTGACTGTACGGAACTGAAAAATTTTTATAAATAGAATCAAAAATAATTTTGCTCCGAGTTGTATACATGTTTTGTATACATATTTTTTAAGTTGGAAAAGAAATCGAATTTTAAAATTATGTATCGTTTCATGCTAATTAATACAGCTAAGCATTACAGATTTAAGCGAAAATCAAAATGAGTACCGCTTAACACAATTTAAAATACAGGTAAGAGAAAAATTGATGATTCATTTGTTTTTTAATACACCGTAGCTTAAACGTACGTCTGTTTTTTTCTTTTTTTGAAAAGAGTAAAAATTTATCAATTATCCAATGTTTTACCACTTTAAAAAATGATTATACAGGGTGTTATTGAAAGGTACGTACAAAAAAATTGACAGTTCTTCGCGAAGTCTAAGAAGTCAGAAAAACTTATTTTGTGTTATCAAAATTATAAGGGAAAAATTAACCCTTATCCAACCTTTTTAGACGCTACTGAACGATAAATAGGTAAAATTAATTTATTTTAGCAAATCCTAGCAACTGTAACAATAAAACTTTTGTCAAGACTAAATGTTGCTATAGAAACGAGAGATGATCTTTTTATCAGAGGCGTACAACAAATTTGGACATAAATTTTAATAATTTTTATCTCTAAAAAAAGAACACTTTTACCTGAACTTTTTTTAACTTTTAGCATCCATACGTCAAGACCAAATGTCGATTTTATTTTGTACGTACCTTTCAATAACACGCTGTATGTTAAATATAAGTCCACCTATTTTAAATGGAGTACGGATGTTCCAAAAACCTGAACAAATTTTTTTTAATTTAATAAATTCAACTGAGGGTGTGGTTTCTTTGCTTGTAATAGTATTAAAAACAAGTATTGTTTTCTTTTTTTTGCAAAGCAATTTGTTTGGATATGCTTCATTTTTACAAATGCTGTAACAATATGTTTCAACAAATATGCGAAATTTGTTTATATTAACCATGCGACGCCTACAACAAGAAGCTTGTACATTTTAAAAAAATATAGAAGTATTTAAATAAATTTATTTGTATATTATAAAAAAAAACTAATATAAACAAGGAAAAACTAGAGAAACAAGATTACGTTAGTACACTATTACACCGCGCAATGAACATATTATATAGATGTATAGTTGAATATAATATGAGTTGTAATATAATATAATAGAATAGTAAACTGTATTTTTCTTAGAATGCACAAATATGTTGCTGAATTTTGATATAGTCGCGCAATCAGGTACAAATAGACTGCAAAAAAGAAAAATTTATACATTATGCCTTGTACGTACACTTTCGAGAAAACTACAAATCAATCGAATCAGTACTACGGTAAAATCAATAAAAAAATCTACGTATCAAAAAATAAAAGTAATAAACAACCAATATTTACCAATACCGTGTTTTTCCATGAATTTAAAATAATTATGAAATAATTCATTTTTTATATAAAAGAACGACTTTTACAAAACATGTATCTTCTGAATATTATGGAGTACAGTTCTCATTTATCGTTATTTTTCCATGAAAAACCTCTCAACTGTATCTCCCAGTCAATAACATGTTAAAAATCTTTATGAAAAGCAAACAATACAAACTTCTGAACCAAGTAAGAACTTGGTTTCTTTTACAAAGGCCGGTAAAAGCCATCATTGAAACTTAGTCCATTTCCGAATACTGTGAACGTAACCGAGTTTAATCCAAATGATTTGAATTATAAGTACAATAAACTTTTCCTGCTACGAAACAGTCATCCGCTTAATATCTTTGAATAAAAACCAGAATTGCTAACTAAACAGTCAAAAAAAAAAATATCCAGAAGACACTGCTCCTTCCGGCGCAGTTAGCGAAAATAAACAACTTTTAGCATAATATAACGGTAATAAATCTTGAAAGTTGGAGTTAGCAAACTTCTGAAAGCATCGAATAACAATTTTTTTTTTGGTCCCGAATAAAATAAGCATTTTTTAAAGGGAAAAACAATATGGAAGGTTTTTATGTTACGATAGCGAAAGTAATCGCTCTTTCTTTGATGAATTGGACGAGTTGAGCGCATCGTCAATAAATCACGCCGCAAATGTTTTTCTTGGTTGTAGAGTTGTGCTGTTTAAAGACAAAAAGCATGCAATACAAGTGAAAATTACTTCAAAGCTCCTTAAGAAGTGTCAATGTGAGTGTGAAAGTTTCCTATATCCACAAAGTCGCAACACATTGTAACTGCAAAAGTCGCGTTGATCACTCACGAGCACCTTTGGCAAGGTTAAAAGAAGGAGAAAATCCGTGAAAGTTCCTCTGCAAATGTTTACATCTCACATAATAACCTATTTAGAGAAGGACACACTGAGTGTCGTCACAAAACATGCCGGCCATCGTCATCAATCACGGATGTTGTACACGCGATCCGTCAAATCTTGTCCCAAGAAGAAGTATCAGCCGCGAGAGCGCGCTACAGACTGTGGGACAAACGGCTGCGCCCGGGACAAGCCCCCACTCCTGCGGCAGCGCAGGGCAAGGACTAAGGACACACACAGGATAACTTGCCGTATAGGATGCAATCTTGACGGTGCACTGATACACGATGCGAAAAGTCTCGGAATGTTAAGTACAGTTCGCAGGAGATGCTGAATGGAGCTGAACGCTTCAGCAGGAATCGATATAATAGAGGAGAAACAAGGTTGATGATAGAGGATCAAAGCTTCACTTGGTAATAAAATTTAGTGGAAAGGTAAACATCGGATCGACTTCCAAACGAAATTGTTGGAAAATGCCGAATCGATCTTCGAAAACGCTGGCTGGAGACTTTTGCCCTCTGATCTGTATTGTTCTTATGAAAATTGTTTTCTGAAGTAAGTAATTGGAATGCTTTAGAAAGCTAATTGCGTTTATTTCTCGAAATTTGCTACATTGTATTGAAATTCACTAAATTTCGGCTTTTGTTGAACATTTTTTTGTGTAGAATTCGAAATTAATTATAGTAAGACATTTGCTCTCTCACAAAATGTTGTAAAGAATAAAATTATCTAAACAAACGAAGAGGCTACGCTAGTGCAAATGGTAGTAGCAGTCCTCAAGATAAGACAACAAGAACTAAACACCTAGTTAGAAAAATATAATCTTGTACAAATTACTTAATAAGAAAATAATGTCATTTGTCAAAGAAATTTAATTAATTTTCTATATAACAATTTGGCGAAACATTTTTACCGCTGTCAAATTACTTTGTTTTCATGCTCCAAAGCACTGCTTCGGGTACCAGTTATCAAACAACTATGTACACTGGCAACTTTTTCATGTTTATATACTTTCAAGCACAGACCAGAGTTTTTAATTACAACACTTACGGCTAATAAAGTAGAAATCTGATGCAAGCCAGATATAGTAAAATGACGGCTTCCAAATCTTAATTAATGTTTAAACTTTTCGGTAAATGAACTGCAGAAAAATGTAAAACAGGCTTCATTCACTATGAAACTTAAACAAAAATGGAATGTTGCAAGTGCTGAAATTTGCCACTTTTCCGATTTTTCCACTATGTATGAGGATTAAAAACACAAGATTTTAAATACCTATTAAGAAAACAAGTGTTTTATAGACAGTTTAAAATCCAGTTCGTACTTAATCCGACGAGATTTTTAAACTGTAAAATCCGTGTTGTCTTCAAGATTTTTTCCAACATTAACAACTTATCAGAAATTATCAGACTTCAATTCAGTTATTTGAGTCGAATTAGTATAATGTATGCAAATATTTCCATGGTTAGTAGGTGGTTATTACGGTAGTAATGTCAACAAATTTTGGAAAAAAATAATTTCAGCATTAAAATGTGTTCAAATGATCCACATGAAATTATAAAAAAAGAAAACAATCGCGGGGTAACTTATTATCTGCGAAATATCAAAAAGTGTATGCTTCGTTTTTAGTGTGGAAGAATAAAAAAGGCATCGGGGAAGTAAGCCAAGATGTAATTTTAGCCTTTCTTGATATGAGGGTAAGTGTTAGTAGTAAGATGCGTAGAACGTCCTTGAAAAGCTGATTAATGACACGTTTACTGTGGCAAAAGTTGTCACCGGCTTCCTTGTGGCCAAAATATTCGATGTTAGAAGCAACTTTGAAGGCCAAACAAAATATAGATATTGAAAAGTTTCGTTCTGTCATTCCTTATTTAAAGAAATTAAACATTGGTTATCGTTGTAAAAAAATCGAAGATTCTGTCACCAGAAAAAATAACGACATTTTTAGAGCAAGCCGATGATGGAGAATTTATTTATAAAAGTAAGTAATAAATAAAAGTAACAAGTATAAAATTGTTTAGGTTGCTTTAATCTTCGGACTTGCTGGGGCCTGCAGAAAGGCCCAATTGTGTGCTTTGGAATGTACTAACATACAGCAATGTACAAGTACTGATAGTAAGATTCATAGTGAAAGAAAATTCAGTATAATTAATGAAGATTTTGGTGGTAACCCCATCGACCTCAATCGACGTTATGTAACTTTACGCCCGAAAGATTCACCTTCAAGATTTTTTATACAATACTATAAGGACAAGTGTAGCCGCCAAAATGTAGGAATTAACTCCTTCGGATCAATTGTTAGAAAATCTGAAGTAATTTAATTTTAGTGCAGGTGGAGATGTTAAAGTACGATGAGTAAATATTGGCAGGAAAGTCTTCAGTGATGAAACGCTTGCAATGGATGAAACACCAGATGATAAAGTGGAGGTTAAAAATGAGAGTCCAGAACTAGTGACGAATGTAGTAGATCTTGCTCAAGAAGTGGTCACACTTTTCAATTCATTCATTGTAGTTTTAATATTTCTTGAAAATATTGTAACAATCATGAATGCAATATTTCTCGAACAATAATATACAGCAGTGTATTTTAAATTGCTATAAATTACGTTGCCATTAACCTAAATGTACCAAACAAACAGTACAAGATGTTAGTGTTGGAAAAAATATTTTAAAAAGTGCTTGCAAAATTAATTATCTTAAAAGACAAAAAAACCCTACTCTCTAAAAATATCATAATATAATATCAAAGCTTCATAAAATTTAGCAAACATATCGAATTCCGCCAACTTTGATTAGGGTGGGATTAAGGGGTAGGTACCATAAATAGTTAGGGTAGGATTAAATAAATAATCACTTAGATAATAAGTCAAAGATATTTATCGTTGTATTCAAGGGAAAGAGACATTTTTTTTTCTATACCATGGCTTACAAAGGTGAAACCTACAGCTTATAACATTAGTGCTGAGCTATATTGTGTTGACTGTAGTATGAACTGCAACTTCGAAATCAGTGACAACCTGACGACATTACTGTAACTTTTCTTGAAGAAGTTGTAATAGTGTGACATGTTTCTATTGTTTTATTTGGCAGTAACAAAACATTAACTGAGCGTAATGACCATTTTTATAGGCATGAATCGTAAAAAATTGATAAAAGAACCGAACCAAACCTCAACCAGATGCGCTATATATCTTAGTAAATTTAGGCTTGCTTATTGCCACCAACCGGTATGAGTTACCAGAATGGGCATTTCCTGTTCTGTAGACATATAAAATTTGATGCACTGATTTTTATAAGTAATAAAATACATAAGGTAAATCGGTCGCTACCTCTTAGGCTAATAAGGACCCAATAAGTTTGCTCCAGCATGTACCTATTTATTTGCCCGTTATGGAGAGGTAAAATTTTACGTTAAGTTATCATCCGTTGTTAATGAGGTCCATTTTTGAAAGGTATTATTGCATTACATTTTCAATTTAGTTCTTTCGGTATCGCAAAAACTGTCTAGTGTTTAGAGGTGTGCGTTAAGAGAGGTTTCACTGTAATTCTGTATCTTTTAGAAATACGAATAAATATGTAGAAGAAAAATGTAAAAAACAAAATAAACGCTATGATAAAAGAAAATATTGAAGAAATTCATATTGTGACCGATAAAATTGAGATTACCTACGGTTTAAGATATAATGTACTGTAGTTAATAACATCATAAATGTTTGCGACAAGAATATTATTTTCTAAAAACATTAAAAATATGCAAGAATTCTAAAAATTTTACGCAACAAAAACTTCTTCTTAGTCCTTATATGTATGTGGTGCTGACTGTGTTGATTATGTACTGTACAGCGTGACATTTGGATAATTAAAACACTTATAATTAATTCGTAAAAGTCCTTAAATAAAAAAGAGTGAAAAATTTTAATTTAATCAAAAACAGTTAACGGAACTTTCCAAACAATAGTACCTTTTTTCCAATTGTAAAGGTTAAAATTGTGTTTTAATCATTGTTTAGTAACTATGAAAGTTAACTTTTATTCATTCAATGATGAAGATTTTTTGATCACAAGTGAGGCAAAAGTTTTAATCACTGGTCAAATTTCAATTTTTTATACAATGTAAATGACAATTCTGTGCTAATAAAAAAACTTTACAATGTCTTCTCCCAAAAATTGTTTCTATTTTTTTGCCACATAACCCTTAGACTGTTTCTTTATAAAGGCTTTCAACTTTAAGAACCTAAAAAACATTTTTTAAAGAGGATAATATTGTAGATCGTTCACAAACCTGCTAATGTCTATATCTTATTTAATCATTAGTCTTCTTCAACATCGAATATTGGGACCATAATGAACTCGATTTGAACACTTTGGCTTTTTCGGCAAAATATGCGATCATTACATTCTCAGAAACACCAGTAACTTTCTTTTCCTTTTTCCATTTGAGGAAACTGTCGTACTCCTAGTTGTATCGTTCAGCTGATTTTGTAGGCAGCAGCTCTCCAATTGTTGCCCGTGCTTCTTGTTCCACATCCGGTGGTGTTCCAATTATTTCGTCTCTCAGTTCTTCCATAATTTCTTCCGAAACAGCAACACAAATATCACTTTTATAAATTTGCGATAAATTGTTGATTTTATTTTTGCGCGTTACTATAGATACTTGTACTTATCAGCTCTGCCAACTATCTTTGTGCATTCCAATATTCCACAAATTAAATTTTTAAGCAATGTTGCTGTTTTACAATTGGAAAAAACAGTATACTTCACTCATGAGGGATTCTGAATTTTAATCATTCGTGGACACTTACCTCATTCGCCTTCGGCTCATGAGTTAAATTGTGTCCACTCATGATTAAAATTCAGAATCCCTCACTCGTTGAGTAGCATACATTATATTATCCTTATTATTATTTTTAAATCTGGTTACATTGTACATAAGATTTATTACTAATTTCGGCTTTTGTTAGTCGTTTGTTTGTTTTTTGAAAGCATAATTTGAAGTTAGTAAACGTTGTCAGGTTGTCACACAATCAAACAGTTTTGTATATTCTTTTGTATTTCACCAAATATAGAGTTAAGGCGAGCGTAAATTTTTAAACATTCTGTTATCGAACCATGTTACTTTTTAAATATATGGCGTAACTTTCGCTGAGAG